TTGATCTTATGATATCAATAGTGTTATTATTCCCACTTTATAGATGGGGAAGTTAAAACTCAGAGTTTAAACTGAACTCTTTCTTCTGTGTCACTTTGCCTCTCCTTTCCTGAAACCTGTCCTGAAAGAGACAGCTGATCCCTTGGACAGAGTTGAGAAGGAAGGCTTTATTCTTCTTGAAGATGAGAAGTGGCTTCTTGGAGAAGCTCGGTAGCATTGGAGCTGGGTCTGCATGATTTGTATGGTGGAAGGGAGGAGGGAAATATTACAAGTAGTGAAAACAGCAAGAGCAGAGAGCTGGTGGTAGGGGCTTCTAGGACAAGTGTAGAAACTGGAAAGTGGTTCATTCCCACTGGAGCAAAAAGGATAAAAGAGGAGCTGTGAGAAGGAAGGCTGGGTAGGAATGTGGAGGCAGTGGCTGGGGCAGGAGTGTCAAGCCAAGGGCTCGGCCTTTAGTTTTTGAGTAGGGGAGAGACGTGATCAGACATGGCCATTCGGAAACTCACTCTGGCTGCACAGAACAGATTGGAGGGGGAAAGCCTGCTGGCACGCGGGTAGGAAACAATGAGAGTCCTATAGGTAAGACATAAGGAGGGTCTGGGCGGGGTGGGAGCAGGGGAGGTTTGTAAGAATGAGGAGAAGGAGGATTTGGTGCAGAGGCCACAGTGCCAGAATCAGCAGTGGACTGGATATGGGAGGAGAGAAGAGAGGAATGAGAAATCATGGCAAGGCTTGGAACCTGAGTGGCTGAGCATCCATTCGCAGAGTCCAACCGGAAGTGGGGGAGGCGGCCCGGGAGTCGGGGGCCATGATCGGACAGGGCACCAGAACAGCTCCTGCAAAGCTGGCTCACCGAGCACCCCAAACTGTCCAGAACCCGTTGCTTCATTCATTATTCACATAGAAACATCTGTTGCGCGAGGTTGTTCTAGTCTCTGTAGAGACGCATTGCTAAAAAAGATGAACTACCTCTACCAAGGGAGACAGAAAAGAAAACATAAGCAAAGGATAACATTTCAAGAGGTGAGCGACACTCTGGAGACAGATACAACCCAGTGAGGGGTGACTGGGGGGAAGAACTTTACCTTTAAATAGAATGGTCTTCAAGGAAGTGAAAATGTTGCAAGTCCTTTGCAAGTCCTGAATGGAGTGAGCAGGAGACCTTGGGGAAGAGGATTCTGGGAAGAGGAAACCAAAAGTGCAAAGGCCCCTGGGTAAGAATAGGTTGGTGTTTTCAGGGAACAGCAAGTGTGGCTATAAAACATAGGTCAGGAGGGAGGGTGGGAAGGAAAACTAGAGAGAGGGGCAGGCCCAGATCACACAGGCCTGAGTAATAAGAAATCGCATGATGTTAATGGATCCAAGAGAATTAAAGTCTCATTCTCCATGTGTGTTTCATGCTCAGAGAACCAAGCCTGACTCTCAGCAGTGGCTCACTAAACAGTTGTCTAACAAGTAGGAAATCACCATTTGTATAGGCAGCTTGTGGTGGTGGTGGTGGTGGTGGTCAGTTGCTCAGTTGTGTCCGAATCTTTGTGACCTCATAGACTGCAGCACTCCAGGCTCCTCTGTCCTCCACTATCTCCTGGAGTTTGCTCATATTCATGTCCATTGAGTTGAGATGCTGTCTAACCTTCTCTTTCTCTTAAAGCCTCATATCTTGGGCTAAATAAAGATATTGTAGCATAGTCAGGTAAGGGTACAGTAAGCTGTGTATGATCAAAATGATAAAGCTCAGATGATCTGAATATCTGTGATATCATTCAAGTATGAAAGTTTGAGTCATGTCTGCATATTCAGTGTGACTGTTGACTAAGATGAAACGGTAAAACATACCTGAAATGATTGTAATACAGTTAAAATGGTAACCTTTTATGGTCTTCCCTCATCACCTTTCCTGTGCAAATATACAGCCTTTTGGTTTTATTTCAGATTTTCCCTTGTGCAACTAACTCATGCCCTCAGCCATTTCCCTTATAGAGATTTTAAAGAAACTCATCTCAAGCACAAAGGCTCATATTGGCAGGACAAGGAATCATCTTCTTCAATAAATTGACAGATTCCAAAGAAGGCAGAGAGGGTGGTGGGGAGAGAGAAGCTACTTATAGAAGTATAAATTCTTCAAGTACCTAATTAATTGTTTAAATGGATCTACAAGTAGGAATGGAAAAACTCCAAAAGATGGTTAATCGTTTAAAGCATTTTTTCTGCATTAAGTTGAACACAGGATATGTGTGAACATTTCAAAATATATGGCATCTTTTACCGAAAATTTAACCCACACACCAGGAGAGAGATTCTTACCAGGGAGGATTGGCATAGCTATCCATGTGTATATATCTGTTCAATCCAAAGCTTACTTGTGATTAAGTGAGCTGGGACAAAGTCCGTCCCCTCTCCCAAACTGTTTCCCTGTCTCTAGGAGGTAAGGCTTGGGTTTCTAGGGCCCTTGAGGCATTAAGCACGTGGTCTGTGATATCTGTAGGCCCACACTATTGTCTTCCCCGAGGATGGTGACCAGTGTCTCAGTGTGGGGGTGTGGCTCCCTGTGACCCTCAGATGATGTGATATATGGGAGGCAGACAAGTGGTCCTGTCACAGAGGAGACGGGATGCTTCCATCAAGCAGACAGAACCAGATACTAGGCTGGACCTTCTGAGGGGGCAAGTTGACAGGTAATCTAAATCTGAGAAGCATCGACTCTCTCTAGGTGCCCTGGTCCAAATTCCATCTGATTTCTGCATGTCTTGTTACTTCTAGGAACTGGAAACTCAGGTCGGCTGAAGGGAAAAAAAAACACTTAACCCTTTTAATTTTTGCACAGTACCATCACCAAAAAGCGCTTCCTTACCATCAACTGTGGCATTGTGGAAAATAAGGTCTTCCCCCATTCTTCAATATTATCTCCATCTTTTTTGCATCTGGTGAGGTGTGGGATGAGTGCCTTGGCCAGCAATGTCTGGCAAAGCTGCAGAAATCCCAGACTCTTAGAAGAAAGCTTTTCCCACTCAACTGTGGCACATAGAATCAGAGCCGTCTTCCTTCCTGTGTCCCCCCTTGACACAGTCTAGATTTAAGTTTCAATAGCTGGGGTGCAGCACATTGAGTTGGGAAGGGATCCCCTCAAGCTAGACACGGGGGATCCACAATTTGTAAGCGAGCAGTGTCTTAGTAAAAATTCCTGACTTTGGCCTAATGAAGGGCATCAACTTCTTGACCATATCTGGTTACTGTGATGGCAACATGCAGACCTTCATGTGATGAGATGATTGGCTGAGAGACCTAAAGAAACATACTGTACCAAGCTTTAAGATGTTTTTCTTAAGAGCAGAAATGTTCTTTTTCTCCCCCCAATTCTCTGGAAGCCACTCAGGAGGGATTCCGTGGACTTCAGTGGTGGGCAGCATGTGGCTGTGTGGAGTGGACCCAAAGATTTCATCATCTGCCTAGGAGAGGGTCCAGTCTTTAAAAAATTAGTTATACCATAAAAATAATAGAAGTATACTGTAGAATTAAATGTAAGATGAACCATGATTTTATTTGTCCCATTCTGTTTCTGTAACTTTAACCCATTCTGTTTCTTCTGCAGATCTGTACCTTTTAATAGTTTAAATCAGTCCACATCTAGTTTTGTACCCAGCATTTTTTTACTTAAAATTTTCTCATAACTTTTGTGCTCATATATGACCTTTTGTGCTCATATATGACCAGATCCTCAAGGCTTCTGATTTAACCATCCCCAAGAGGGTGGACAGGACGGGGATGCTGGGGAGGGGGAAGAGGAGAAGAAGGTTAAAGAACATGTTGACCGTGAACAGATGCAGGTTGATTTCATGGATGCTGATGACATGGCCCTGTTTCCTGAGGAGGAAAGAGAACAGTGGATACTAGAGCTAGAGCCAAGGAGAGGATGGAGAGGGAGATTATGGGCCAGGAGGCCAGAGTCACAGGCATTAAGGATGTGATAGAGGGGTGTCAGATTTCAGATGGAGTCCCTCCAGTGTTTTGATGATTTGGTTTGGGGTGCCTTTTTTAAATTAGGAAGCAATACATAACATGTACTATTGTAACCATTCTAAGTATGTAGGTTAGTGGCCTTAAATACATTCATACTGTTGTACAACCATCATCACCATGTATCCGTAGAACTCTTCACATTGCAAAACTGAAACTCTGTACCCATTAAACAATGAGTCCTCATTCCCCCCACCCCAGTCTCTGATAACCTCTTCCCACTTTCTGTCTATAAATTCACATATTCTAGGTACCTCGTATAAGTGGAATCATATGCCATTTGTCCTTTTGTGGCTTACTTATTTCACTTAGTATATTTTCAAGGTTCATCTATGTTGTAACATGTGTCAGAATTTCCTTCCTTTTTAAGACTGAATAATAGTCCATTGTATGTATATGCCACATTTGTTCATCCATTCATCTGTTGACGGACACTGGGATTGCTTTTATCTTTTGATTTTTGTGAATAATGCTGTTATGAACATTGACATGCAGGTACCTACTTGAGCCCGTGCTTCCAATTATTTGGGGTACATGCCTAGAAGTGGAATTGCTAGATCAAATGATACGTCTATATTTAACTTTTTGAGGAGCCACAGGGTGGTTTTTATTAAGGATTTTTGTGTACTCATCGAAAAAGACCACTAAATGAAGTCTTAGGAGTGGAGGGTCCAGGAAGAAACCATTAATTTTTCTAAGTAAATTTTGTGTAGGTTTCTTCATGGCGTTGGAGGGAAGAGAGAAAAAGGAACAGAATACAAATGAATCCACCCTCCATTTCTGAAGAATTATTGTGATTTAGAGGCACCGTGGGTGGAAAAAGAAAGCTCTCAGGAGAGATCTTTCAGAGTTGGGATTCATTCACACATGCAGGTATTTACTGCGCCAGGAAATCAACCTGCCGTGGGGACCCTGCCCACAAGGAACTTGTGTGTATCTGTTGAGGTCACCAGTGAGTATCCAGGCAACAGTGGTCTGTACAGATGCTCACTATGGTAGCCATAAGTACTAACGTTTCTGAGTGCTTACTACGTTATCTCACTGATCTTTTATCACAGTTCATTGCAGAAAAGTTTTTATTGTCCTCAGTGTATTGAAAAAGACTCAGAGAGCTTAAGTAACTTGCCAGAAACAAACAGCAAGTAAGTGACAGAGCAGGAATTCACACCTAGGTGTGTAACTGTGCTCTGGTGATGAGCTGAGGACTGTGGGCACCCAGGAGAGGCACCTGCCCAGCATGGAGGTCAGAGAAAGCTTCCTGAAGGAAGGGGTCAGGTGAGCATTTTGGTGGAAGTTGGCTGTGTTCTTCTGTGGCTCATGATTTCAGATCGTGGTTTTTGGTAGGAGCAGGGGCAGCATCCAGCCCTGCTTCCTGTGCCTCTGGTCTCCCAGGGCGCCCCCAAACCCCCGCTCCAACTGCACTGAGACTACATTTCAGAGGAAGACGCTCGGAGTCAGCATCCCTGGTTCTTATTGAGGCAGGGAGGCCCGCGTGGGGCATGTCCTTTTCCCTCTGGCATTTGCTGCCTCTGACTCCCTTAGCTGCCCTCCTTCCAACCCCTTCTGGGATGCCTTAGAGGGACACCCCAGGGTGCCTCCCGGGTCTGGAGTTGGCCAAATACAAGGCCCAGGAGTGGCCATGGAAGTCACATATCCACCTCTGTGTCACTTCACACCCAAGATACCTGGACCCATGGGCTCCTATCACCTCAAAGCCCCGCCTTCCCAGAACCCAGAAGTTGCCAGTTCTCTCTGCTCTTTGAATCCCTTGTAGCTCGCTGTGGCCTACTGCAGTGTTTCTCAACAAGGACCCTGCTGGTCTGTAGGTGGGGAGTTCTTTATTATGACAGCATCCCTGGCCACTCCTCTGGATATTTCCCAGGAGCACCCTTCAGTCATCATGACAACTGAGAATGCTCACACACATTTGAACGTCTGTTTTATGAGCAGGAAGATGTATAGACCTTCAGCGTTGCATTCAGTGAGTTTTGATGACTATATGAAGTGGAATAACCATCACCAGGATGGGGATGTGGGATGTTTCCATCACCTCTCAGAGTTCCTTCTTTCTCCATCAGTCAGTACCCGCCCCCAGAGGGAACCGTCCTCACCACGTCTGTCACTGGAGATGACTTGTCTGTTCTTGATCTTGGTATAAACGAACTCAGGTAGCGTGTGGTCTTTGTGTCATAAGTAGTTTTTGAAATCCATCTGTATTGTTACACCCCCACTCTCCCCGACACATGCAGATCTCTAAATGCCAACTAGAATGGCAGTCCTTGCCTTTATCCTACCAAGGGAAAGTGGGCTGTGAGTTAAAGTCTGTGTGTGTTCGTAGGATACACGAAGCCCTCAGCCGTGAGATACGAGGCCCCCTCCTGCCCACTGTCCAGCCATACAGAGGGGCCTTCTCCCAGCTCGCCTTGCCCTTTCGCCTCTTCTGGCCTTTGCCGCTGCAGTCTTCTCTGCCTGGAGCACCCTCTGCACGGTCTGGTGAATTCTCCTGGTCCTTTGGTCCTTGGGATGCTCAGACATCAATTCCCTGTGCAGCTTCCTGGATTTTCCCGCTGTGCCCTCCTAGGCACCCATGTCCCACAGCCTCCATTGACATTTAGCACCTATTCAACTCTGCTCACAGGACTGCAAGCTGGTTTGAGGGCAGGACTGGGGCTTAGTCATCTGTATATCCTCACAGGTCCAACACACAGAGCCTGATAGAAAAGAAACAGATTTAAGATTATAGCAGGTCCCGTCTCAAGCTTACTTAGAGGCAAATTGGGTCTAAAAAAGCTGTGCAAAATATATCCAAACCACCCTCTGAAATTGATCAAAGAAAGGTGGTGGGGAAAAAAAAGTGTAATCTCTGACCACAAATGATAAATGTAGCATTAAACTCACTACAGTGAGGCAGAGAGCTCCAGCCCTTGCCTAGATGATCTGGATTCATGGGAAAGCCATGGACATTGATAAGTGCAAAGTGATACAGTTCAGGGAGTCAAGGGGATGGGCAAAAGAGTAGAGTCAATCAAGGAGGGCTGCCTGGAGGAGGTGAGTTTCAAAGGTTTTTCAAAGAGGAGTCCGTTGAGCCAGAGCTACATAATCAAGGGTAATCTATAGAAAGCCTTAAAGCATGAGCCAAGGCAGCCTGAATCTGTCTTCTTGTGACTTTGGTCCTGAGTCTCACATAGGTCCCCTTCCCTCACCTTTCACTCCTTTTCATTCACTTCTTTCTTCCCTCGTTTCTCCTATTTAATCTCCTTTGCATCTTCTTTACAAACTTGAATGTGCAGAAGGAGCTGGATATACATTGCTTGGCCTTCCATCCCGTCCTCGGTGTGCTGGACTCCCCATCTTGGAGGAGACAGAAGGAGGCCCATCTCCTATCCCCCCCCACCCCCAGCCTGGGCAGCTCACAGCAGTCAAGGTTATGGACAAGAGAGCCAGGCAGCAGCCCAGGCTGGAGTGTGGTCCATGGCCAGGTGCCGAGTTACAGATCAAAACACTCGGGGGAGAATTCAGCTGGAAGAGGGGTCAGTGTGTGCTGGATTCCCTGGGGAGGCTTCCGGGAGGTGGCATGAGCTTCGGCCGGCCCTGGCCACAGCTCAGGGGAGAGGAGCTGGGAGGCCTGTCCAGGAAGGAGGACCAGGGGAGACGCGGGCTGAGAAGCAACAGTGAGCACAATGGTGTTCATGATGGAAGAGGATCTGGGGAACCCCACGAAATTGGGTTTTCAGCTCTTTGGGCCCCGCCCTTTCAGGGCCCTGTGTCTGACTCAAGGGACCCCGAAACTGCCCAGGGCTCTCCACAGGGAGGAGAGCAGTTCTGCCGGAGAGGCCCCATTCATCCCCAAGGTGGCCTCTTCTGCAGGGCTCTGCTTAGCTCCAGGACCCCCGGCAAAGCCTAAGGAAACAGCTTTGCAGCTGGTGGCACCGTCTGGTATGGAGAGCAGGAGCGGCTCCCGTGCGGGGTTGACTGGAGGGGCCTGGGAGAGGCAGCTTTGAAGCAGGTCAGCGTGGTGACAGGGAGCCCTCCCCCGGTGCCAGGTCTCTAGACCCTTTTCAGCCTTGAATCCTGGCTTCTTTTTTTCTATTTCCTATTCCATTCAACTTCCTGGCTCATACGGTATCCTCTCTCCTAGCAAAGGTGCCTCAGACCCAGCTCACGTTTCCAGTTTCCATCTTGCACCCCCGCCCCCCCAGGCTCTGACTGCGTCTCAGTTTTGCTGGAGTCTTTTACCAAACCCTGAAGTGGCAGCATCTTCCCAACCCGAGCACAGAAGGGTGACCTGAGGGGCTGGGGGTGGGGGCTCTGATGGAGGACTAGACCCCACAGTGAGGTGTGGCAAGAGTCAGAGTTCTCCCTAGCCGCAGGTGGGAACAGACCTAGCTCTGTACCCCAGCCCCCTCCTTTCCAAGTGCATATGAGCCCTGTGAGAGGTGGTTCTGCAGGTGATGGAGAGAGGAGCAGATGCCAGACAGGATCTTCGTGGACAATCCAGAGCAACGCACAGGCGGCCCTGGCCTTCAGGCCCAAGGCTGGCATCAGGGACATCTGAGGCTAAAACCAGAGGCAGGTAGAGATCGGAAGCCCAGAATGATTTGTGATGATCAGGGTGTGTATGTCACCAGCGCTGGCTAGGTCAGGATTCTAGTTTTGTTTGGAGGGGGCAGAGCTGCAAGAGTGGACAAAGCCTCAGTCCTAGAAGGAAGAAGACCGAGACAGAGATTCTGCCTGCCAGGGCATCAGGCGGAAGGCCAGGTGCTGGGATGGGGCCAGTGTCAGAGCTGGATGAGCAAGAGTGAGACTGAGTATTGTGAAAATAATAGTATTAGTTAACACTTAAATGGGCTTCCTTAGTAGGTCAATGGTAAAGAATCTGCCTGGCAATGCAGGAGATGCGGGTTTGCTCCCTGGGTCAGGAAGATCCCCTGGAGAAGGAAATGGCAACCCACTCTAATATTCTTGCCTGGGAAATCCCATGGACAGAGGAGCCTGGCAGGCTGCAGTCCATGGGGTCACAAAAGGGCTGGACACAACTTAGTGACTAAACAGCAACAGCAGCACTTGTGTAGTGCGTTCCGTGCTACTGGTCCATTTTACAGATGAGGAAACTGAGGTACCAAGCGTTTGAGTCAAACTTCCGATCTCTTCCAAGACTGGCAGCAGGGCCCCTCACATTCACAGCTTGACATCAGCCATGGTGGGAGCATTTACACCAGGGAAATTGGCACATGCCACAAATTATAGCTTTAAAAATTTTTATTTATTTTCTGAGAACCCGTTTGTTCGCATACCACAAGGCTCAGAGAGTAAAGAATCCACCTGCAATGCAGGAGACCTGGGTTTGATCCCTGGGTTGGGAAGATTCCCGTGGAGAAGGGAACAGCTACCCACTCTAGTTTTCTTGCCTGGAGAAATCCATGGACAGAGGAGCCTGGCAGGCTACAGTCCATGGGGTCGCAGAGAGTCAGACACGACTGGGCGACTTTCACTTCACTTCAGGCTCATTCCAGAGCCTCCATGAACCTCACCTATGAGTCAGAAGGATTGTATTAACTGAAAAGCAGGCAACGCCTGACACAGTATATGATGATAGCCTTTCTAAGAGCTGACTGGACCCTGTCTAAGCACTTTATATGCATCTCGTGTAAAAACTTCATGTAAGGATCACTCAATCTCCCTGAGACCCTCTGAAGTGTAGACACTGCTTTCCCTATTTCACAGATGAGGAAACTGCGCTGCAGAGAAGTCTATCTTAATCTAAGATCAGGCAGTCTACAAGGGAGCCTTGACTCAGATTTGGCTGCCCAGTCCCAAAGCGTGCGTTTTGTGGCGTTTTTGATGAACCATTTATACACACTCAAACCCTAGCCTTATTTGCATTTAGTTTTTTCAAGAATAGATCTTGAATATCTTCCTGGTGCCAGACAGAGTATTAAGTGAGGAAACAGGAACGTCCACATCAGAGGCCGTGCACCTGGTGGTTTCAGTAAAGCCTGGGTCTGGGGTGGAGGAAAACTGAATTTGAAGCCTGCTTCTGGTGCTTACCAACTGGGTGACCTTGAGCAAGTGACTCAGTCTCTCCAAGCCCTCATCTCCACATGTGTGTAGGAGGGGGCTGACAACTGTGTTTAGCTCATAGGGCTATGGTGAGAGATGAGTGATGTAACGCATGTACAGTATTGGCACCGTATCCAGCACTCCGTAAGCACTCGATAAAAGGAAGCTGCCGTGATTACAGTCCACAGGTTTGTGTTTGGGTAGCTCCGTGTGAGGTGGGGATACAGGCATCAGTAGATAATCACCGAGGGACTTCCCTGGTTGTCTAGCGGTTAAGATTCCTCCATTGCAGGGGACACGGGTTCAGTCCCTTGTTGGGGGACTAAGATCCTGCATGCCATGTGGCATGGCCAAAAAAAATAATAATAATAATTAAAAAATAATCACTGAATAGAGCATGAAAACCGAGGGGGTACCCGGTTCTTTCTAAGGGAGTCAGGGAGGGTACTGCTGAGGCCACATTTGAACAGGGTCTTGAAAGGGTCTTAAAGAGTTTTTCAAGCAGAGAAGGGGAACGGGGGCTTTTCCCTGAAGGGCGAAGTGCATTCCAAGGCATCCTGAGTAGGAGAAAGCATCTAACAGAATGGAAACATAAAAACACTCCCCTCCCAAGAGATGTGATCATGCCTTCACATTTGTAATTGTCTGTTTCCTCCTTGTAAGTTAAACTGTATACCTTGAGTGGAGAAAGAGGGGGCAGAAGGGGGGCGTTTTCAGAATCTTGGAGGGCAGAGGGTTAAACCAGACGACCTTTCAGCCCTGAAATCCCACTCTTTGATTGCACATCTTCTGGTCTCCTGTCCACCACACAGATGCAACTGTCTGCAATAGATACTGACCCACACGGGGAGCTGGGCCCGTGTCAGTCACTGACTGGGGTGGGAAAGCTCCCATTCCCCCCACTCCACCCCTCACCCCCGCCTCTCCCCGCCCAGCCCCACCCATGGACCAAAGCCTTGTTTCCCTGCTGCTGGGAGCGCCCTCTGCTGGTTCCCTGCTGCTCTGCCAGCCCTGCCTCATCAAACCTTGATACCCCCAGAATCAAAACTTGAGACCTTGTGGAAAGGCCCTTAAATGTCATGAAATTAATTTTTTTAAAATTTTCACTTGTGGATGCTGTGACTCGGATTAGAGGAAGTGACTGGCCCAGGGTCACACGCTGGACTAGAGCCCAGGGCTGCTGTGCCCTTGGCCATGGAGTGGTGTGTTCCCCCAGTCGTGGAGCAAGGCTGCTACTATCACTCACACTCTACACTCCGGCCAGTCTCCCGAGGCGGGCTGTCTGCGCTGCTGCTTCAGGTGGAGCAACCTGAGGCCAGGGTCCCGGGCAGGGCTTCCTTCTGTTCCTGGGGAGGACATACGAGGTAACGGCCCTGCAGTTGTGAACTCCTTCAGAGCCCTGGGGACAGGAGTCTCCCCCGGACTTCTTCACTAAGTCACCTGCTGTATGAGTCTAGCCGAGTCACTTCACCACCTGAGCCTCAGTTTCTTCATCTGTAAAATGGTGCTGCCCCCAAAGAACTAGGTGAGGATTGTTTCAAAGAACACGCACAAGGTAACTGCTGTAGTCTGCCGTTTTCTTCATGTTCACTCTTCCTATTTCAGAGTGCTGTTTGCAACGAAGACCAAAAGCCAGAAGAGAAGAGAACTGAGGACTATGGGCAGCAAGAGGCTGACGTGTTACTACTAGCTGTGTGCCCTTGGGCAGGTCACTAGACTTCTCCGAATCTCCATTTCCTCATCTAGAAACTACAAGGTAAGGATCGTATGTTCCTTCTAGGGCTGTTGTGAAGATTAAGGTCTGCCTTATGTCTCTGGAAAGAAGGGGAGGGAGGAGGAAAACATACAGGAAGAACATGACAAATCAGCACCTCGGAAGATGTCCCTGTCCGCACTCCCTTCCCACGTGCCCTGGTCAGACTGAATCTCTTTCCAGCCGTCTGAGCGAGCCCCGCTTCCTCTCAACTCCAGGCCCCTTCCTGGGCCTTCCTTCTGCCTGGAACACCCCAGCTGCCCCTCTGTCACTCCACAAGTCCTGACCCCCACCCCTCCTTCATGCCTCCTCATCAGTTCCTTCCTGGGAACCTTCCCTGACTCTCCTGCCTGTCTCGGGGCCTCACCAGCAGCCCCCACACCCTGTGCTTCTCCCATCAAGCAGGCCACCTGTCTTCCATTGGCTTTTGCTTCCCTGTGCTTCCCCTCTGTGCTCTGAGAGCCTGTACTTTGCTGTATCCCCAGGGCCTCACCCTGTGGCCTGCACATTGTAGGTGTTTGGTCATCACTAGTCAAACACAGGAGTGTTCCAGACCCTGAATCAGACTCACGTGAAAGGTGGAAAACCTTTCCATCTTGCCCAGCCCCCACCCCTTTGCAGCCTGGGCCTGTCCAGCACCCCTTCGTCTCCCCTCCCCTTGGCTGTCTGCCACGCCCATGCCACTGACCCCCACCATCAGAGCAGGGTGGAGAAGCTGTCATCATTCATCAGGGCACGTCCCAAGCAGAGAACTCTCAGACCCTGTGTTTGGGATCCAGAGCTCTCGTGAGTTTGCAGTCTGCTCAGACGTGGGGACAGATGGCTGGACAGTGGACAGCTGGGCAGGGAGGGTAGGCAGCTTGGCAGGATGGAAATAGCAGTGAACTAAGCATTGGGAGTCCTGGACTCAGAGCCTATTGATCCACGAGTTTGCTGCACGCATCAGTCTGAGCACTGTGGTTGCCAGCAACAGAAACTAACAAACTCCTTGTTAGGAGGCTTTGGGGTGTGACACAGGATGGCAGGTAACTGACCTCTGGTCTTGGGCCCTCCCTGTGGCAGGGGACTGGCAGAGCACCTGGGGAAAAGAGAGGCAACTCCCAAAAGGGAATCAGGATTTTTAACCACCTGAAAACAGTTGTTCACACCCTTTGTGGCCTGAGGCAAGTACTTAATCTCCCTTGCCTCGGTTTCCCTTTGGGGATATCCTAAAGCCGGCCTCTTTTCTCCATTCATGTCTTGTGTGCTTTGTCCAGAGAAAACTCTGCCTTGACTGCAGATGGCACCTCTCCCCATCTGGACATTAGGGGATGGTGATGAGGAGCTGACCAAGCACCTATGTGCTTCCCTGCCACCGCCCCGGGAAGGAAGGCGAGGCCGCTCCACCTGCCGACTCTAAAGCACGAGGCTCATTTGCAGGAGGCGGTCAGCCTGGTTCTCCATGAAGCAAGCATGTGCTCTGCCCCTGCACATTGAACATGCTGATGAGAACCTGGGTGGCATTCTGGGTCCCTTTCGGGCCATGACGTGACCGTCTTCTCCAGTTTGGGGAGCTCCTGGCTAGGTTCTGCCCACCCAGAACCCTCAAAACCACTACCCCGAAGACCCTGCCACTGCCCTCCATCTGACCTTTAACATGTACATCAACAGGCTTGGGCCCTGAACACCTGGGATGCAGGGGTGGCTGACGGGGTGAACGTGCTCTCAAGTCACTGCTAGGGGAGGCAGGTGCACAAACAGCTAACTATAGCAGCAGAACAAAGTCAGAGGCAGAGGAGCATGTGCCGGTGTGGGGTGGGAGTGGAGATGGGAGAGCTTAATTCTTCCCCGGAGATCAGGAGGTGCTTCATGGAAGAGGTGATGGGGAGAATGAGTAAAATTTGAAAGGAGGGGGAGAGAAACATCAGGCATGAGCAGAGGCCTGGAAGTGGGAGTGAACAGGTTTTGTTCTGAGGACATGGCCGTGTAATGGGATTCAAGCTTTGGGAGGTGGTAGAGGCTCCGTGTGGACACTTCTAGACCCCAGAGCCAGGGTGCCCAACCTTCTTGGCACCAGGGACCAGTTTTGTGGAAGACAATTTCTCCACGGATGGATGTGGGGGATGGTGTTGGGATGATTC